TTCTATTTTCTATTTTCTATTTTCTATTTTCTATTTTTCCATTTTTCCTTTTTTTCTTCTCGAATCGTCCCCGACGATTTTCTCTTTTTTCTTTTCCTTTTTTTTTTGTTTTTTTTTGTTTTATTCCTTTTTATACGGTTTTTTTACGAATCTACGAACGAATAGTTCTTCTTTTTTTTCTTCTTCTTCTTTTTCTGTTTCACGCAATCTATCTTTTTATTCTATCTCGTTCTTTGATTTTCTATTTCTACTTTTTCTTTTTTTTTTTTTTTTTTTTTTTTTATCAGACAAGAATACAGATAAACGATACAATTTTTTTCCGGGACAATTTTTGAATTCAACGTGTGCCAAGTGTTATTTTTTTTCATTTATATATATATATACTTTTCTATGGAAATCACGTCTTCAAAATATAACTTAATGGAAATTCGATAGTGATCGATGATAATAAATGATTACAAGATAATATTATGTTTTTATAATATTATGTTTTTTCCTTTTTCTTTTCATTTTTTTTTTTTTTTGTAATTTTCATCCTCGAATCATACAAATTACGTTTATAAATTTGTCAACAATAATATCGAAAATAACACACGGTATAGAATTGTGATCGGCAATGAATTATTTTTAATTTCTTTTTATTTTCTTCTTCGTCTTTGTTTACCCCTTCGTTTGTCTATCCTTCTCTCTCCCTTCCTCCCTCCCTCGCTCTCTCTCTCTCTCACTCACTCTCTCTCTCTCTCTCTTTCTCTCTCTCCTTTTTCGTCTTTCGTAAAAATCGACCAATCAAATTGCCATTCGGTTCACGTGATTACGATAGTCCTCCACGATTCGATGACAGGGTTAACAAATAGGAATAAATCCTAACACCCAATGGTTCTTCGGTATTACTTTTAATGAGTAAACGAGTGATCTTTTAAAACAATCGACGATAAACAACAACAACAAAAAATGGATCGAAACGTTCTTAATAGGAAAAAAAAAAAAAAAAAAAAAAAAATAGAACAAAAAAAGGAATAAAAATGAATCGAAGAATAAAAAAAGAATTGTGGGATGGGTGGTGATTCGGGAGGGGAGGGGTAATACGCGGAAGAAGTGACGCGTCATAGACTTGTTCGAATGACTATTATTATTATGATTATTATTATTATTATGATTATGATTATTATTATTATTATTATTATTATTATTATTATTATTATTATTATTATTATTATTATTATTATTATTATTGTTATTGTTATTGTTATTGTTATTATGGCATAATCGTTTGTTCGTATTTATTCTGAAGAATCGAAGGATTTATGGTATTCGAATAACGCTTTAAATATAATCCGCCATTGGGTATAAGATCCCTTCCTATTGGATATGCGAAACGGTAACACGAGACGAGGCATCGGCGAATCTAATTCATATAGACGTCGCAATATAATTATTATTCGTTTTGTAGAGGATTACGTTCAGGAAAATTTAGAAATGCGTTACGTCGCCTGTCAATTTGTGCGAAGTAAGTAAAACGACAAGTCGAATCAGAAAGGTACAACGAGATCGTGTATTTGTTTTTTTTCTTTTTCTTTTTCTTTTTCTTTTATTAATTTTTTTTCCTTCTCTTTTCTTTTCTTTTTTTTTCTCTTTTCCTTTTTTTTCGAGCCAATCAAAAAAACGAATGAAAAAGAAAAATTATTAATTTTTCCGTATAAATAACAAATTCTGCAATATTTTTAACGAGCATCTTTGGATCTACTTTTTCTTTTTTTTCTTTTTCATTTTTTATCTTTCTTTCTAAGGAACGAGTAAAACTAACGATACCAAAGATGAATCCATCGTTTTGAAACGACCGAGACTTTTATTAAATATATTCAAAAAAATATTTTTTTTTCTTGTTATGGATATATATATATATATATATATATATATATATATATATATATATACTTTTTCTTTTTACATATGTACATTTTTATTTTCTTTCAATTTTTATCTCTCGGACATACATACATATATCACGTAACTTTGAATAAATAGAAATTAATTGTGATACAAAATCTGATATATGTAATATCAACGTAAGAATAATATTATCAGTAACCAATAATCGATCTTATTACACGATTCTTACCTAAATACAGGCGACGTACGTATGATATATTTGAAACACATAGGTCTGACGATATCTTCTTTCGGAGATCTTGGATTTAAATAGATTAAATGTCGTTAAAAAAAAAAAAAAAGAAAAAAAAAGAAAGAAAGAGAGAGAAAGAAAAACAAATGAGAGAATATATATTGATTTAATTCTCCAGGAGATTACGTTGGACCTTTGTTTCGAAAAACTCGGTGCCAAACCACGATGAATGTTAGCCCGATAGAGAATACTGTTGCTGTGGTGTGCTTCCAATAAATTATTATTATTATTATTATTATTATTATTATTATTATTATTATTATTATTATTAATTAATAATTATTAATTAATACGATTGGAAATGAACCAAGTTTCGTAACATTTTCCATCGTTTTTTGTTGTCACGATACAAAATAAAAAAATACAAATAAAAAAAGAAAAAAAGAAAGAAAGAAACCAGAGATGGAAAATAAATAAAAACAAAAGTATATATAAAAATGGAACAGAAAATTCCACCACTGCGACACGTATATAATGTATTCAGAGTACGTACGTATGTACATACATAAGTACGTATGTACATACATCAAGTTGACACATGAGTGTATAGAGAGCAAAGGCCTGATATCTGTTTGTATGAGTAAGTAGTGACCGTACGTCGTTTTCTATGTGCCGCATTTCTCTCCTTCCGTTTCTTCATTTTCTTTTTTTTTCCCCAGTGTCTTTTTTTCTTTCTTTTTTTTTTTTTTTTTTTTTACTCCAACCCTCTATCGCGTTTGTTATTATTACGATTATTATTATTATTATTATTATCATTATTTATATAAAATATTAGAGAGGAAAAATTGAAGAGGGTTCGCCGAACGAAATCGAACTACAAAAAAAAAAAAAGAAAAAGAAAACAAAAAAGTAGTTGACAGAGTACCCCGTAAACGAACTTTCCTATCAAGAAAAAAAAAATAAAAAAATAAAAAGAAAAAAAAAACCGATAGAGAAAAAAGATACTAGAAATTAGAAGTAAAAAAGAAAAGAATAAAACGAGTCATTAGTATTAGGATATTAAAAAAGTTAGCGAGATTGTTAACGATTATATTATATATATATATATTTTTCTTTTTTTCCTTTATTTCTCTTTCCTCTTTTTTTTTTTTTTTTTTTTGTCTAAGCCGTTTCGTCTTTCGTCTCGAGTTCGATACTTCGCGATTATAGGTTATATACATATACATATATATATATATATATATATATATATATATATATATAAAAGTAATTTTAAGAGAACGACGGAGAACTATGAAATTAATTACGACCGATGGAAGTGGTCGAATAAAGAAAGATATCTCACTGCCGCATATCTTTAGTGGCCGCACGGTGCGTACGTTTTCGTGCTTATCCAGCATGCGCATGTTTATTTATTTTTATACATTTCTTTATATATATATATATAAATGCTGATCTATTGTGTATACATACATACACACACACACACACATATATATATATATGTATATATATATATATATATATATATGTATGTATGTGTATGACCTACGCATATATGTACATTCGTTTATGATATATATTACATATATTTATACGCACAATTTTTTCGCATAGCTTCGCTTGCTTGCATCGTAGCAATTATTTTCGAAAGGAACGTTCGTAAATTTTATCGCGATTAATTAATAATTATTAACCCTTTTTTATAATCGATGATTTATCGTTTCTCATTGAAAAATTTCGTAGAAGAAAAGAAGAAATAAAAAGAAAAAAAGAAAGGAATTTTTTTTTTTCTTTTCTTTACTAAATTTATTTACAAATTAAACTACGTCGTATTGAATGTTTTTTGTTTTTTGTTTTTTTTTTGTTGTTTTTTTTTTTTTGTTTTTTTTTTTCTTAATTCTGCGATCATCACGTGCATTTAAGGGTGAATAAATAATATTGGTACGAGTTATTTAAAAAAAATAAATAAATAAATAAAAAAAAGGGGAAATAATAATAAAATAATAATGCAAAATATATTTTACGAACGTTGCAATTAGAATGCTAAGAATGTGTTTAGATTAGATTTCTTTTATGAAACTATAGAAAGAAACATATTTATATATATATATATGCATATATATGTGTATATATATATATACACATACTATATACACAAGGATATATATATATATATATATGTGTGTGTATGTACGTATGTATATAGTCGTATTTTTTACTCAAAAGCTTATATGTACGTTTTTATTATATACATATATATATATTTATATATATTTATATATATATATATATATTTATATATCCTTAAACGCAACTAATATGCACTCGCTCGTCGCGTGCACCGAGTTTTTGGCTTGAACGTTGTTTGCCGTAACTCGAATATAACGAGAGTGACAATCTAATGAAACATTAATTAAACAATAATAATGAAATGATATAGTTGTACGATTTATAAAAAGAAAAATTAATAAGTTCCTGCGTGTATTATTCGCAGGAAGGAGTAACCGCGAGACGACTATTTCACGAAAACATATTACGAAAGAATAAAATAAAATAAAAAATAAAAAAAAGAAAAATAAGAAAAAAAAAAGCAAAGAAAAAAACAATACAAATGCGATTTTTCTAATCGTTTCGTTTAGGAATAAAAAAATAATTGAAGACAAAAGAAAAAAAAAAAAAAAAAGGAAAACAATATTATTTTTTTGTAAGTACGTTCGTTGTTTTCGTGTAATCGACGATCGCCGGAACAATCTCTCTTTTTATTTTTCTTTTTTTTTTTTTTTTTTTTTCTTTTTTTTTCCTTTTTCTTTCTCATACAAATTTTTATTTTATTTTATTAAGGCTTCTTTAAAACGACATCGTCTCAATTTTATAGGTGCAGCAGCAAATCTACGCAAGGAGGTTATAAGAAACAAGATCAGAGCCATCGGCAAAATGGCGCGTGTTTTCTCCGTCCTGAGGTTTGTAGTAATAATCCTCTTTTGGGATATTTTATGTTGCTAATATGCATAGATAAAATTTATGAATAGAATGCGGGTAAAAGAGAAAAAAAAGGAAGGAATAAAAGAACAGAAAAAAATAAAAAGAAAAAATAAATGATTATCTACTTTCAGGGAGGAGAGCGAAAGCGTGCTACAATTGAAAGGTCTCACACCTACCGGAGCTTTACCACTTGGCGCGTTATCTGGTGGAAAGACGTCCTTGAAAAATGGTAATTAAAACTTTTCTCACGTTTCACCTATTTTATTTAATTATTACATTATTTTTATCATATATCTTGTTATCTATATGTAATGTAATCCTCCTTGTTACACACGTATTTCAGGCCGACCATCATTCGTTGAATTGCTTTCTAAAACTTTTCAATTTTTGTTTATATAAACAAATCGACAAGTGCTCGTGCATCTTAACGATAATGAAAATTTACAAAGAATTCCAATGGAAACTAATATAAGATCATATTCTCTATATTAATTAATGTAATTAAAAAAAAAAAAGAAGTTTTCCCAAGCAATAAATTGTTCGAAAGGACGAATGAATGGAACGAATGAATGGAACGAGTGAAGGAATGAATGAATGAAAAAAAAAAAAAAAGAAAAAAGAAATAAAAACGAAAGATAAGAAAATTCGCAAAAGAAATATATTATCAATTTTTGTTATGATCGTCTTTCTGTTTTTTTTTTTTTCTTTTTTATTTCTTAGCTCTCCAAGGGTTCTCACCGAATCACAAGATCACCTCATTCGCTGAAGCGAAGGGTTTAGATGCCATAAACGAGAGGATGCCACCGAGAAAGGACGCCCCACCAACGCCCGTGAACGAGGAAAAGCCGGTGATAAAGCCGTCGACTCCTGTTGGAGACAAGCGAGACCACAGCACACCGCAACCGCAATCGTGAGCCTCACACATGTCCAATCAAGGTACGTGCGCGTCTTCTCGCGTCTGCTTTAAAAAAAAAAAAAAAGAAAAAAAGAAAAAAGCAAAAGAAAAAAAAAATCGATACGACCTATCCAAGACACATATAGAGCCGCCACACCACTTACGCTCAGCGCTGTTCCTTTTTCTAAAGTTCTATTTTGTTCTTTTATCTAATGACGCTTTTATTTGTTTATTTATTTATTTCTTTTTTCTTCTTTCGATGCAATTATAACGCTACACAAAAGAAATACTGCGAACGATCTAGGTAAGATTTAATTGAAAGAAAGAAAAAAAAAAGAAAAAAAAATAGAAAAACTAAAAACAAGTAGTAGTTAAGTTATATATTGAATCTCCATTTCATAAAATAAATCTATCTATTTATTTGCATAAATTCTACGCGATATAGTACCGGTCATGATTGTTCGATATAAAATAACGAATAGAAATAAAAATAAAAATAAAAATAAAAATAAAAATAAAAAAATATACCTCCTTCCAAACCTTCTTCGATATTACCGATTTCTCAAATTTTTTTCTATCACTCGCAAAGTTTCCTTACAAAATCGAAAAATACGAAACAAAGCGTTTTAATAATTATTACTTCCCATTGAAAGAACAACGAACAAATTTGACTTTTTATATACACACTCGCATATACATTTTTTTCTCGTTATATTTTTTTAGACGGCGAGGATGGGCCTTAAGTCCCAAATGCTGTCATCGCCACCGCCGCCACCATCACCGCCACCACCGCCACTACCATCACCACCACCACCTCCACTACCACCACTACCACCACCACCACCACTACTACTACAATTACTACCACCACCACCATCACCATCACCACCACCACCACTACAACCACCACATAAGATACAAAACATTACTTGTCCAACACGGCTGTTATCACAGTTGCGCCAAGTTCATCGAGCGCAGAAGTCGTCGTCACAGACGCAAGAAGGAAAAGGAAGTGGAGGAGGTGGAGGAGGAGAAGGTAGAGGAGGAAAAAGAGAAGGAAGAGGAGGAGGAGGAGGAGGAGGAGGAGGAGGTTGAACAAGTTCGAAAAAAAGGAGAGAAAATGGTGAAGAAGGGAAATCGTCGTCGTCATCGTCGACATCGTCGTCATTATTCGTCGTCATTATTCGTCGTCATTGTCGTCATATGACAAAGAAAGGATACCAAATAGAAGAATAAAGAAACAAGAACAAGAAAAAGAAGCAAAAAAAAAAAAAGAAAAAGAAGAAAAATGATGAAAAA